CCTTTTTTTAAAAAAAAACTGTGCACACAAAAGAATCGGTTAACCATTTCACATTGTTATCCTGAATGTGAAAAGCCAGCATTTTACACAGTCAGAAGATTAAAATCTAATTGATGAATAGGCAGACACTTTCTTTGAGTAGTCTGCCCAGACTTAATCCTCCACACATTTCTCTAGGCACTTCAGAATCATTAAACATCCCACTGTTGTGAAATATCTAAAAAGTAACTAGCATTATTAGTCTAGCCTTAGCTTGATTAATATCCAGTTAAATGGATTCTACTTTGTTTTGGAAGCAATGCATCAAAATAATTAAATGGAGTCTATAGAGTGTATATTGGTGTTGTGTTTTCTGTTTCAGAGTCATGCCACTAAGTCTACAACAAGAATTATTTTTGTATGTCATTTTTGTGCTCAATATGCTTCAAAATAAACACTGAGTGTTTAGAAGTATCAGGATTATTTAATTTTTCAAAACTACACAGGCTTTGAGAATCACAGTGTATTGATGAGGCACAGCAGTCTCAGAGGAACTCTACTGATAAGATCCAGAAGTTCATCTGATGGCCACAGAGACCATCTTATGGAGACCATCTTATGGAGACCTTGGTGTCAGGGTGTGTGACTATGTCTGAAGAAAGCTATCATATGCATAACAGGTGCAGGACAATAGTCCTATTACAGCACTTGAAAATGTAATTTTGGGAGACTACCTCAATATTGTGTATGAAGATGATGTGGAGCTTTGTATGTCCTTCTGTAATTTGTACCAATTTGGCACACAAAGCATAGCTCAATTGTATTTTAGTATGTCACAGTACAAAGTTTTTCAAGCTCCAAAGCATAGCATAGATCTACTAAATAGCTTCTCAAACTTCTATACAAAGCACAGTCTTACTCCTACAGAACAGCTTCTAGCAGTCCTGGGTAGGGGTTCCCATGTCAGCAAGATGGTGAACCCACTCCAAGCTTTAACTGAGCTTTAAAAGAGCTATCCAAGGTACTGAGCTCTTTCCCTAAATAGGTTCAGCAGAACAGCTCAATGCTATATAATCATGGGATTTTTACAAAGTCTTTACCCTTCTCTGCCAAAAAAATACTGGTGCCTTGAGGTTGTTCTTCATTCGTTCAGTCATTTCCGACTCTTTGTGACCTCATGGACCAGCCCACGCCAGAGCTCCCTCTCAGCCCTCACCACCCACAGCTCCTTCAAGGTCAAGCCAGTTACTTCAAGGATGCCATCCATCCATCTTGCCCTTGGTTGGCCCCTCTTCCTTTTTCCTTCAGTTTTCCCCAGCATCATTGTCTTCTCCAAGCTTTCCTGTCTTCTCATGATGTGGCCAAAGTACTTCATCTTTGCCTCTACTATCCTTCCCTCCAATGAGCAGTTGGGCTTTACTTCCTGAAGTATGGACTGGTTGGATCTTCTTGCAGTCCAAGGCATTCTCAGAACTTTCCTGGTGCCTTACTAAACTACAAATAGATAGCTTAGTAAAAAGTAGCCCAAACCTGGAATGGATTCACCCACCCTACTGACATGAAAGCTACAAGCTTCCAGGACTGGGGATGCCCCATCTACAGTGTATACTAGGCAAAGCTGTACTCCTGAAAAAAAATAAGTGAAGGCAATGGCCCGGAATCTATTATCCATATCATTAGACGCTTGGCTGATGTCTCAGATACAACCCTGTCTGGAGGTGGATAATCCAGCTACAGTGATTCAGGCTCCGGTAATCTCTCATTTGAATTAGTACAATGCACTGGTCAGGGAACTCTCTTTGATAACAGTTTGGAAGTTTCAGCTACTGCTAAAATATATTTCTTTAAAAATCAACTAAAGAGATTTGAGTACTATCATCATATTATGTTGGTCCTTTCTTGCCTTCAGAGTTATCCAGTTTGGACTGTATCATTGCTAGATACAGTTCGAAATGCTAGTTTTGACCTAGAAAACTCTAAAGAGTTATACAGCTCTAAACCTTGGAACCTTATGGGACCTCTTCCCAGAACTTAAGGTGATCTATGGAAGCCCTTCTTCAAACCCTCTCTCAAGGGAAGCTTGTCTTACGTCCACAGTATCTTTACTTCGCCAGGAAATGTTTTTTTCTGTTCTCTTGGGCATTGAAATGTTTAAAGTGTTTAGCATTTTGAGTAATTTAAGATCCACTCATTTAGAGCCTATAGTGTGTGTGTGTGTTGTGCCACAGTGTCCAATGGTAGTTCCTGCATTTGTAATTCGCATTCATTACCCTATGCTGACATGTTTACTTGGGTTTTATGCTAAGCAATATTTTATCGAATTTATTGTGTTTTGCTGCATTACCCTTTTCAGTTTCAATCCTGCAAAACCTAAACATTTAGAAGTTTACTATCAAAGATAAATGAACAAAACGCCATCATGCTTTGCCAGAAATATTGCATGATCCCACTCTATTCACAGCAAGCCTATACAAAGCAATTTCTGTATCAGGGAAACCAGCCTGGTTAAGGAAACTCTGAGACTGTTTACTTTGGTCAAACATGTAGTTTATCAAAGATCATCAGTATCCAGTCCAAACAGGAAAGATTTTTGGGAGCTCAAGAGTTTCCTATGTTCCTTAGCAATAGACTTATGTACCTTAAATACCAATACACCATACTAAGTTTTAAGTTGTTGCATCCTTATCTTTGTTCACTGCCACTGATGGTTTTTCTTTTTGAATATTTATTTAAACTTCTCAACAAATGGATACATATTTATTTTAACTGGCCTTTTCTTTCTTTCTTTCTTTCTTTCTTTCTTTCTTTCTTTCTTTCTTTCTTTCTTTAAAGGCCCTTGTCTATTTTTAAATGGGAGATCTTTGTTATGTTCATTCGTTCAGTCATTTCCGACTCTTTGTAACCTCATGGACCAGCCCCCGCCAGAGCTCCCTGTTGGCTGTCACCTCCCCCAGCTCCTTCAGAGTCAAGCCAGTCCATCCATCTTGCCCTTGGTCGGCTCTTCTTCCTTTTTCCTTCCTTTTCCCCCAGCATAATTGTCTTCTCTAAGCTTTCCTGTCTCCTCATGATGTGGCCAAAGTACTTGAACTTTATCTCTAATATTCTTCCCTCCAATCTTACCATCATTGTAATTTATTTCATTCGAAGAGCTGCCCCTGAACAAAATCCCCTTGAAAGCCCCATGAGGAATGGCTGGAGGAGCTGTGTGTGTTCAGCTTAGAGAAAAGAAGGCTGAGAAGGGACATGGCAGTGATGTTCAAATATTTTAAAGGAAGTCACATTGAAGATGGAACGCAATTGGTTTTTTGTTTTTTGTTTTTGCTGCTTCAGAGAAGGACACAGAACAATGGATTCAAGCTGCAAGAAGGGATTGCACCTAAAGATTGGGGGAAACGTTCTGATTATATGACCTGTTCAATAATGAAATATGCTTCTGCAGTTCAAAGCTAGCTCCAAACTTTGGAGGCCAAACAACAAACCCCCACAAAAGCAACCAGAAGAAAGACTTTGATGTGCAACCATGCTCTGTGTCATCACCATCCAGGCCTCAAACTGGTTCTAGGACTTCCTATATAATCAACTGCACAGTTTGGTCATGTCAGGAACGACTTGAGAAACTGCAAGTCGCTTCTGGTGTGAGGGAATTGGCCATCTGCAAGGACATTGCCCAGGGGACACCCAGATGTTCTGATGTTTTATCATCCTTGTGGGAGTCTTCTCACATGTCCCTGCAATGAGAAGCTGGAGCTGATAGAGGGAGCTCATCTGCACTCTCCCTGGATTCGAACCTGCGACCTGTCGGTCTTCAGTCCTTCCAGCACAGGAGTTTAACCCACTGTGCCACTGGGGGCTCCAGTGAAACAACTTTTGTCAATACCAGCTTGAAACTGCATTAAATGGTCAGTGTGGGTATGCCCTGTATAGTGTTTGTGGTCTCTTCCAACTATATGATTCTATGATTCTATGATCCATTCTAAATTGGAAGACAATATTTGGTAGTTTTAATACATTCCTTTAAACAAACTGCCAGAAAATCCATCCTCATTTGCATCAACCGAATTCAGGAGATACAATTTTACATGTCCCCAATGCACATGTAAAAGCTAGGTGCCTCTTGGAAAAATGAGGTCGCAATAACTCTAATTTAGCACTATGATGTTTTAATGCATTGAATTTCAAAGCTAGACTGAATTACTTGGGCCTAGATTGAATAGTTCTACTTTCTCCTGTGTTTAAATTTTTCAATTTCTAGCTCTATCCAAATTGAGTATTTTGAATTTTTCAAATTTGTAGTAAACCTGTGTAGCAATTGAATTGAAGCAAAGTTCTCACTCACTCCTATAACTGAAATGAATCATTTTCTCTAACAAATACATGACATACTGGTTGTCCATCCTTCAGTGGGCTCTGCACTTGGGGGAAGACAATAACTTTACTGGAGCCTAGAATAGGGGAGCAAGCCCAGACTGCAGGTCCCATTGCAATGACAAAAGAATGAAGATGTGCCGAAGATACACCTGAGGATATTTATATAAACTTATTTCCTTGTATTGAGGTACCTAATGTCCAGATACTGTGAGATTTCCTGGAACTGCTCAGAAGCAGTGTTAGGAACACCCAAGCTGAGTCTCCTGGCTCAGTCCCATTTTGAGCACTTATCTAAACTAGTCAGAGTATGCCTCTGAAGTTAAACTAAGGCAGAGACTCTCAATTTACAGCCTCATCTATTTTGTACCATAGCAAACCCTACAGATCCCAGAATTCTTTGCACACAGGCAGGAAGAACAGAAGCATTAGCCAAACAAACCACCCTATAACAGTTTGACCAAGTAAAGTCAGCCCTCCACATCTGCAACTTCACTTTTGCAGATTTGATTATTCACAGTTAATGAATGGTTAGAATCTTCTCTTTATGAAACTCTAGATTCTCTAGGACTCCTCTCTCACTCTACCCACCCCAATTGTACATATTAACATACAAAAAAGAAGCCAAGGTGGTGGAAAACAGTAAATCCTCTTACCATATTTGTCTCCATCTTCTCCTTTGGCACTGATCCTTCTCCCCATCACTTGGATATGTTTCCCACTTGTCCTACTGTACAGCTGATAGAGCCTGAGCTGCTTTCTGCTGACGTCATCCCGCGCTCGCGTTTGGTTTTCCACGTGTATCCGAAAATCCACATTTTCTTCAGCGACAAACATCTGTTTTTTTAAAAAAGAGGGGAGGAAACAAAAACAGATTAATTATAATAAATTAAGGCAACATTTTGGATCCACAGACCAGCACTGTGTGAAGTGCGTCCCCCAAGACACATTTTATCTGTCTATTCAGTATATGCCTTAAAATGCATAGTACTGAACCCTACATACTGTACACTACTTTTCAAATACACACACACACAAATATATATATGATAAAGTTTAATTTATAAATTCTGTACAGTAATAGTTTAACAACAGTAACTAATAATAAAACGTTATTGGCAAGATTTGTTCAGAGGGGGGTGAGAAAATAGGGCTTGCTCAAGGCCATCCAGTGGTTTTCTATGACTGACCTGGCCCCCATAGACCTTGTCCAGGACTGAAAACACTACACTGCTCTGGCTTTCCACTATCAGCATGGGAGCAGATGAAAAAGAGTGAGGGATTGTGGTGCAATTAAAGTCACTCCCCAAAAACAACTGCAGTTGGAACTGATTTAAATTGTTACAATTAAAGCACACATGAAAAAGTGCAGGAGAGTATAATAGGAATGTTTACTAATGATCTCAACAATCTGCATCATGTGAATTCAGAATGAGAACTGAAATAACTTTCTTGTTGAATGTTGATGAGACTGATGACCTTATAATATGGGGCTAGTGTCATTGGCAAACACTGATCTGGCTCCAGTCACCAACAGAGTTGGCCGGCTCCCATCACACTATGTCATGCCGCTCTGTGGGTATAGAGGAGCGGAACGGGCGTGCCATGCTGGCAAAGCAACATGAGAGGCTTCCCATGTTGCCCAATCTATGGAGGGAAGTTGCACACACCACACACTCTCCACACTTTCCCCATGTGATCGCCCTCCCAGCGAAGCGGGCAATGCGAGGTGTGGGACACGGTATTCACCATACCTCGCAGCAAAGCAGACTACTGCTTCCTTCTGCTGCTAGACGTGTGATGAGGTGGTGAGTCTTTATAGAACAGGCATGGGCAAACTTTGGCCCTCCAGGTGTTTTGGACTTCAACTCCCACAATTCCTAACAGCCTGCCCATGCCTGTTATAGAATGTGTGTTGAAACGTTTACTTCTTGTTGTAAACTTATAAAAATGCTTGATAAACTTGCAAGAACAAGGAACCTTTCACATTTACGAGTTTGATATTTCCAAATTTGGTTATTTGAAGATTTGATTAAAATGTTCTCTTTAGGAATTGCTAGGTCCTCCAGTGCGACTCTATGGTCACCTTCTGCCAGATGTTGACTGTAGCCATACTAGAGGACTTCTAGAGCGAGCAAGAATGCAATCCAGAGTGCAATTCTATGTTCAGCTTCCAGTGAATCATTCTGGATAACCTTGGGATTCCTAGAGAAATACAAAAACTATTTTTCCATTTGTGTTTTTCTATTTTCATGGATGTCCTGCATCCCTAATCCCAGCTAAGGTGCAGGGCTGATCATACACTTTCTGAATGGTAGATTCATGATGTGTCTTTGCAGACAGAAAAAATGCATAGCACCTAAAAATCACTGTTTTACACATTTACAGTTTTAACTTTTTTCTAGATTAAATTAATTGAAGTATAATGGGTCTCTGCAGATCATTGATACAAGGAGAAGAAAGTTTCCATCTTGGAAGCATTTTAAATTTTTAAATAAAACTGTAAAATTGTAGTTTACTTTTTGGAATGGTGGGGGGAGGGATAATTTCAAGACATGAGTAACTGAATCTGTAGGTGCAAAATCTCTGAATATGGAAGGCTGACTTTACTGTGCTAAGAGTTGAAGTCCAGGAAATTGGAAATATGCAGGGGGTGAGGTGCTCTCAAAGTAATCCAAGGAGAAGAAAGTTTCCATCTTGGAAGCAGCACATTTGGTTCATCCTCCTCTCCTAAAGGGCCTGGTCTAGGGGATGTTGGGAGCTGTAGTCCGGAAGAGAGTGTGGAAATATGATTGTGTGTTTTGTTTACCGGGGGAGTCATTTTTGCACATGCACTGTAGTGTCTTTTTGCTTTTTTGGCTTTTTAAATCCCTTCCTCTGTGTTTTTCAGTGTTTTGTGAGTGATGGTCACTTGTTGGCCTGATAAGTGTATGGTGTCCAAATTTCATGTCAATTCATCCAGTAGCTTTTGAGTTATGTTAATCCCACAAACAAACATTACATTTTTATTTATATAGGTATATATCCATGTCAGGAGTGACTTAAAAACTGCAAGTTGCTTCTGGTGTGAGAGAATTGGCTGTCTTCAAGGACGTTGCCCAGGGGATGCCTAGATGTTTTATCATCCTGTGGGAGACTTCTCTCATGTCGTCGCATGGGAAGCTGGAGCTGACAGATGGGAGCTCACCCCGCTCCCTGGATTCAAACCGCCGACCTTTCAATCATTGCACCACCAGGGGCTCCTCTCTATCTATCTATCTATCTATCTATCTATCTATCTATCTATATGCAGGCAAATATAGATGGAGGGATGATGCACCCCTTTGATTCCCCCCTCCCATAGTACAAGGCTGACCCCCAGCAGAAAAAGTTATATTACGACTGTGTGATCCCTAGTTAGTACTTAGGTGGGAGATTGCCAATAATCACAAGGTACCATAGACTATATGTCACAGGAAAGAACTGGCAAAACTACCTCTGAATATTCCTTGCTTAAGAAAACCTATAAAATGCATAGGGCCCCCATAAGTTGACAGACAACTTGACAGAACCTGCACACAATTACACCTCTAAAAATTTAAAATCAAACCCATTTTTCAGGTTTTAATTTATGTTTCCCCCATTCCACCCAAGGATGTGCTAACAACAATAGAATACATTTCCCTAATCTCAATTAAAGCAACCAAATCAGCTAGAAACATGGCAGTAAAAAGACACTGATAGCAACACCAAGAAGTGAAGATCCCTTTCTGTCAGCAAGCCAATTTAGAAGCCAAAGGCTTATCTAAATAAAAATATTGTTGCCTGTTGAGAAAACAAAAACAATGAAGCTGCAGGTTTCCCTCCTGCTTTTCCCAGCAGGATTCCTACTCCTGCTGCTACTCTTCCAAAACAAAGAGTGATAAGAGATGGGGCACTTCCACACAGCCATATACTGTACCCCAGAATATCAAGGCAGAAAACCCCACAATATCTGCTTTCACCTGGGCTATCTGAGTCCACACTTCCATATATTCCAGTTCAAAGCAGATAATGTGGGATTTTATTCAGCTGTGTGGACCGGCCCCGGTATGGAAGGGATACATCAATTCCTTTTTTGGCAGTCCATCTTAGTTATGAGCCAAACTAGTGTGGTTTTCATACTGCTGGAGGCTACGTTATAATCTCCAGATTTGCTAGTTCTAACCTGGTTTGGAAGTGTTCAGGCATAGCAAATTAGTTTCTCTTCTTTCTGTTGTGAGATGGGCTGTACCCCTATTTAAAGCAAAGAGTGTCTCAACATTTCTCTTCCCTGCAATTTCTCCCCGGAGAGCATCCAATGCAACTGGAAGTAATATCACATTAAATTTGGCCCTTGAGAGAGGCCAAAAACTGAGCCTATATGGATTGCATGCAGATCACAGTTTCCCCAGCTCTGATTTGAATAATAGTAACAATTTCTAAAATTACACCATTATATATAAATTAGCACATGCAAATTATATGTAAATCTGTGCCATTTTCTTTCGCAATCCATTTCCCCCATGGGAGCATTAAATAAACGGCCGTTGTAGCTCACGCAAATGCCTTTAATGTTTATTATCTCCTATCCCCACCCATCCAGTTTTCTATGAAAGGTAAGCTATAAATGCATTCAATAAATACCCAGGAATGTAAATAAATACATAGCCCACCCGCCCCTTGTTAGGCAGTTAGTTTGCCTTGCTTTTACCAAAATTATTTTACTTGCAAGCATATAGCTGGGTTTTGGAAGTCTCTGCGCTTTCAAAGCAAACCCGTTTGCCAAAATTAAACATTCCTCTTTTTAGGGTCCTTTTTATTGACTTAAAAAGACAAATAAAAGCAAGTTGCTTTGATACACTGAAAACACTGTTTTTACCTTTCAGCCACCGAGCCAACCTCAAAGCAATTATTTCCTTCATGTCTTTTCAAGCATATAAAATTATCTTGGTGAAAATCAACAAGAAATATTGTAAGATGTCTCTTTCCCAGGTCTGGAAATAAGGTTAATCACTATTTTGTTTTCATGGTTTTGGCAAATGTCCACTTTGCCAATTATAAAATTTGTGAGGCCACCGCCAGTGCAGTATTTCTTTCAGGGCTGGGTTGAAATGTAGCACACCATTATTGGCTGCCATTTCCTCTCCCAATCTTGCTTGCAGAAGCTTTCTTCAACCAAGCCATTTGGTGGGGGCTATAGCACAATAGGGGCAGACATATTGGCACTGAACCATGGAGGCCCACTGCATTTTTGCCAGTCCTGGTGCACCATGTATATTTGGATGAAACCACCCTCAGAACTACAACACAAAACCCAAGTTGAGATCTAAATCAATTACTATTGAATTCACTACTATAGTCAGTCCTCCAAATTGGCTGGTGTAACTTTTGCGAATTTGATTATTCATGGGTTGATCAATATATTATCCAGGTCCTCCAGGACGATTCTGTGGTCAACTACCAGCAGGAGTGGGCTATAGGCTTGCAATATCTAGAGTTTCCTAGAGAGTATTTTAGTATTTCTTTGAAAGTGTGTTCCTGTGTGGCAGATGGGGTGGGTACAGATGTGGCAGATGGATACAATTCTCAATGAAGTACCATGGATAATATCCACACTGAAAGTCCCAAGTCCAGTTTTTGGTTAAGTGCTTTGACAAGCAATGTGATGGCACGCCCGAGCCTTTGGAAAAACTATATTGTCTGGCTTTACTCGGGGGCTATCTGTATACCTTCTGTTAAGATTAAGACCCTTAGCAGACGGAGACACTTTAGGCAAGGTGAAATGATAACCAAAATGAGTTTACTGAAACAAGATGAATAAAGGGTTAATTCCACTC